TGATCAGCAGGAGGGAGAGAATGTTGTCACTCCTCAGCAGTAGGTATAAAAGGAGATCTAAATCTCTTTCGTCTTATAATTAAAGCCTCTCAAACAATAATTACAAATCCTAAAACAGCTACTGAAGAAATAATTGAACCAATTGATGATAAAATATTTCATGCTCTATAAGCATCTGGATAATCTGAATAACGTCAAGGTATACCATTTAAACCCGAAAAATGCTGCGGAAAAAATGTAATATTTACTCTTGCAAACATCGTAAAAAAAATTATTTTTAATCACTTTTGATTCAATGATAAACTCGTAAATAAAGGAAATCTATAAACAATCCCAGTAAAAATTCTAAACCCAGCTCCTATAGATAAAACATAATGAAAATGATATACTACATAATAAGTATCATGAAGAATAATATCAGTAGAAGAATTAGCCAACAATACCCCTGTTAGAATACCCCCACTGTAAATAACAAATAAAACCTAATATCCATAATAAAGAAGGACTATAATTAACTTGTGTGCCTTGAAGAGGAACAAACCCTAAAATACCAGTAGCAATTATCATATAAATTATCCCAAACAAACATACATAAAACATACCAAAAGCCTATTTTTTACCAGATTCTTGAACTTCGATATGAGATACCATCCCAAATTCAGGTAAAATGAAAATATTAGCTTCAAGATGTCCAAAAAATCAAAATAAATGTTGATAAAGAATGTGTTCCCCTCCCCACCTCTCTCCTGCAGGATCAAAAAAAGTAGTATTTAAATTCTGATCCATCAAAAATATAGTAATTGCCCTTGCCAATACAGGTAAAGACAATAATAATGAAACAGTAGTAGTAAATACAGATCAAACAAATAATGGTATACGATCCATAGTTATACCTACCGTTCAAATATTATTAGCTGTCGTTATAAAATTAACTGAACCTAAAACAGAGGATACTCCTGCTAAATGTAAAGAAAATATTCTTAAATCTTCAGATGCCCCTGCATGAGCAATTGCAGAAGCTAAAGGAGGGTACACAGTTCATCCTGTACCAACTCCCCTTTTCTACTGTTTCTCTAGTTAATAATAGAGTTAAAGAAAAAGGAAGTAATCAAAATCTTATATTATTTATTCAAGGAAAAGCTATATCTGGAGCACTTAACATTAAATGAATTAACCAATTTCCAACTCATCTAATTATAATAGGCATTACCAAAGAAAATCATTACAAAAGCATGAGCCATTACTACCACATTATTAATTTTATCGTCTCCAATTAATCTTGCTGGTTGGCCTAATTCAACTCGAATAATCAATCTTAATGAAGTACCAACTATTCCAACTCAAGTTCAAAAAATAAAATATAATGTTCCAATATCTTTATGATTTGTAGAAAAAAATCGTTGATGAGTTAATAAAATGGCCGAGCTTTAGGCGCTAAACTGTAAATGTATATACAAGAATATTCTTTTTTATTAGATTTTGTAGTAATAATTTAAAATGTCAAATTGCAAATTTGAAAATGTGCTAACACTAAAACTTTTACGACCTAAAAGAATTTCTTTTTTGTTACAACTTTGCAGGATGTTAGTTTTATTAACTTAAAATCTTAACATACTATATAAACTGAAGGAACTAATAGTCCTAATTTTTTTTAATTATTATTATATTTATTATTTTATTCTCTTCATAATCATTCATAACCCAACCACTAAAAGGAAACATTAAAGATAAAAAAAAATACTTAAACGAATACACAAATAAAGTTACTAATCTACCTATCAAAAGCACCACTAAAGGATACAAATAATAACCAGTAATTATTTCTTGAATAATAAACCATTTAGGAATACCTAAAAATTTACCCCGAATAGACAAAGAATTTACCTAAAAAAGGATGTAAACCACTTAAAGAAAATAAACTTATTATATACATAATTTTAGGAATTAAAGGAAACCCTCTATTAATTAAATGAGAAAAATTTTAAGATTGTTGTAAATAAAAATTGACAACAACTAACAACGAAAGTAAACAATAAACCCTAAAATATAATAACCAACAATATTCTCTCAAAATTATAGTAAAAAATATTCAGGATATATGATTAATTTAAGAGAAGGCTATAACTTTTCAAAGAATTAATTGACTTAGGCCCCCCTATAGTACCAATAAGAGCAGATATTACAGCAGAAGTAAGAATTATAAGTAATCTTCACTTATCATGAACTAAATAAGATAATAAAACTATTGACCCTATTTTCTGCAAAGTTATTAAAATTATTACCTAAATTCAATTTAACCCGTTCATTACTTGGGGAAACCAGAAATGAATAGGAGCCGCCCCTAACTTTAACAGTAATGATAAAGAAATTACGATTTTTAAATTCACTCTTATTCAAATAAATAAAGCTGAAAAAATAATTATAACTGAAGTCAAAATTTGTACCAAAAAAATTTTTAAAATCCTTTCTGAACTATACCGATTTCTTCTAGAAGAAATCAAGGGAATAAAAGATAACAAATTTAACTCTATTCCTACTCAAGCTCCAAATCAAGTATCTGAAGAAATACATAATATTAAACCTAACACTAAAGTAAAAAAAGAGTATTCTGAAAGGAGACACCACTGGAAAGAGAGAAATTTGATCCTCATTCACGGGGTATGAACCCATTAGCTTTGCTTAGCTTATCTTTCAATAAAATGAGTAAATTTTACATAATTAGTCTCATCAAAACAACCCTTTTATCAGGCTTCATAATTTTTATATATAGGTATTCTTCACTTTTGTGGCTTCAACACAATATTCTAATTTTAAATTATAAATTATATCAAGACTAATATAATAACAACAATTGTCACCCATAAAAAGAGAGTGCAGCCACCAGCTGGACATGTCGCACCATCACTCACCTATGCTTCCTGAGTCCAAAATATGTCAAGCCCTTCTGCATCGATGTCCTGTCCAACTCCGAGACCGGCCACTTCACAGCGTCTCTTTTTATTCAGCCTTCTCAAACCACTTCCAGTCAACACGTGATCCTGCACTCCCACAACCAACGAAGCCTAACAAGACCGTCTCAAATGTTACTTCCGGTCACTTCTCTGACACGCCGCCCAATGGGCAGCTACACAGGATATCCATGCCCGGTCACCTCCACCCCCCCCCTCTCCCATCATAAACTACCAGTATCCAGAGGGGACGAGCCCCACTTCGACTCAAATTCAAATTTGCCATTCTCATAAACTCTCCACACACTCCAAAACTATTTCTGGTGCCAGTATGTTGAAAGCGATTAATAATTAAATGTTACACAATAATCAGGGTACAACAAGGTCAAGCCAGAAAACAGTGACATTAACTTGAGTTTCCTCCACCCACGTGGACCTGCACAGTCCTAAGTGCATCCTACTACACCAGATGAGCTGGTTACTGATGCAGGTGATGTGATAATGATACCAGTCACCCAGTTACCCTACTGGCCGGAACTACACGTTGACCAAGGCGGGAATGAACAAAGCCGCGAACAAAATTTAGCAACGATAGTAAAGATTAGAGAAGTTGGTAGACAGGATCATTATAGAACATATCAATTGACAAGTTCAGTTCTTATCAAGACACGTACCAAATTTGCATTTAATTATGTCCATCTTCATATGTAGGTAATTGTCAACTAGCATTAAAGTTATTGCCCAGTTTGTTGTGTGATTTCATTTACTGAAGATTACAAGAAGATAGAACCAGCCGTACATCAGGTCAGTGACTGGCATGGCTGTAGGGAAGGAGGAGGTCATGAAACTCATTCTAATGAGGAGGAGGGGTTGGGTGGGGGAGTGTTGCTGATTTGCACTTGTCAAAAATTGTTAAGGTAAATGTAATTTCATAAAAAAATTAATAAAAGAAATAGAAGAACATTTGTCTCACCGCTGCAGTTCAAATAGTTACAGAGTTATGGGTCTACAAAGGTTAGACATATACTCGAGGTCAAGGTTTTCAGCTTTGGTTACATCCATTCAAAATAATGTAGCTCCTTACCAAAAAGAATACCCAAGACAATTCATGTTACATACACATATACACATTTATACCAGTTAATAGTTGGAGTTTAAACAAATTCCGGGTTGACATTAAGGTGCCATTCTAAGGTCACAAGTTAAGTTTAAGGTTAACATCTTTATTTGAACCTTGATTTAAAATATGCATATAAAAAAGTTGGAGAGCCACTCAGTACATTTAAAAAGGGTATTTGAAAGAATTATACATGTACTATAGAAGCAAAGATTCGTCCTATTGAAATAAGGCATAATCTTGGAAAACTGACCCTTTTGGCAAAATTCAAAGTCGCGTATATTCGGAACCTTTTAAACTACAAATGTGAGACAAAAGTCATACAATTTCTCTCGGTAAGATCTCTCAGTGTACCAAATTGCACCAAAATCTGAGATGGTGTGGTAAATTACTAGGGTGAACAGACCTAACTCTCCAAAGAAGCAAGGTAAGAAAGTTTTCTGTCTGAGTAGATTAAGTGGGAAGTTTTCCGTATTGGTAAGAGTAAGGAACATGTGGAAAGCGGTGTAAGAGAAAGTAGCGTCCACTGACAACTTCACGATTATGACGTCACAAAGCTGATGAGATATTTTGCTCCTAGTTCGTCTGTAAGATTTTGAGGTAAATTAAACAAAACAGATGTTGAAGGTTAATTATTTCAAATATACGTTAGGAAATTTGTTGAATAAAAATCAAACTTTTAATTAGTAAAATTAAAATACAGCAGTCAACTTGTCAATAACCATTGCACATGTAATTTATTAAATTTAGAGTTTCTAAAATCTCCTCGGAAAGCCTTGTGCAGTGAACGGTCCTCAAACAAGCAGAGGAGAATGATGACAGGTGAGTTGAATATTCCATGACCAGCAGTTTCCCAGAGGCGGTTATCTTCGTCTTATTGGTAGCTGGGGTGTACGTCTTATTGGTAGCTGGAGTGTACGTCTTATTGGTAGCTGGGGTGAACGTCGTATTGGTAGCTGGGGTGAACGTCTTATTGGTAGCTGGGGTGAACGTCGTATTGGTAGCTGGAGTGTACGTCTTATTGGTAGCTGTGGTGAACGTCTTATTGGTAGCTGGGGTGTACGTCTTATTGGTAGCTGGGGTGAACGTCGTATTGGTAGCTGGGGTGAACGTCGTATTGGTAGCTGTGGTGAACGTCTTATTGGTAGCTGGGGTGAACGTCTTATTGGTAGCTGGGGTGAACGTCTTATTGGTAGCTGGGGTGAACGTCGTATTGGTAGCTGGGGTGAACGTCTTATTGGTAGCTGTGGTGAACGTCTTATTGGTAGCTGGGGTGAACGTCGTATTGGTAGCTGGGGTGAACGTCTTATTGGTAGCTAGGTTGTACGTCGTATTGGTAGATTCGCAGTAGATGGTTGATTGCGGGCAGGTGTTCTCCCGCATGCGGTGATCACTAAACGCCTCACCCAGGACTGGTCACGGACATAGCAATTTGATTTGAGGTCCCTCTGCTCACAGAATGCTGTGGGGGGAGGAGTGGACAAATATATATGATACAGTTTGACATAAAATGGCTAAATGAAGATTTATGAACGGATCAGTTTTCACAAACGCATTAATAAACAGAGTATCAACCGTAATCTTAAACCTTAACCAATAAATTATTTGAAACAAAAAGCGAAATTTGTATATTAATTACGGCATAAAGCATATCATTATATGACAGGCGACCATAGTATAGTTTATGAACAATCAATTAACAATCAATTCCCAAAACAAGTCTGGGAGGAAACTGTAATTAAATGAAGAGTCTTGCCAAGATGTAATCAGGTCCAAATAGCATAAATACTTTGTAATATATATATTTACTTCAAAATTAATGAGAAAATCTGTAGGAGACGTGATGAGGGTTCGAATCTTAGCGGAGGGTGTTCCCACGCACACGATCTAGTCGACTAGACCACGACTTGGTATAACAAAATTATACCATGTCGTGGTCCTCTGGAGAGTGTGTATGGGAATCCCACAACATAGGTTCGAACCTTCATCACGGCTCCTACGGATTTGTTCATTGATGCAGCCACGTTAGTGTGACTATTCTCGGTGTTTTAACAACTAATTGTAAATCAAGTTGAGTAACTAAGACAGTAAACTATAAGTTAAGTAACTAATGCAGTAAACTATAAGTTGAGTAAATAATGCAGTAAACTATAAGTTGAGAATCTAAGGCAGTAAACTATCAGTTTAGTGACTAAGGCAGTAAACTATCAGCTGAGTATCTAAGGCAGTAAACTATAAGTTGAGTAACTAACACAGTAAACTATGAGTTAAGTAACTAATGCAGTAAACTATAAGTTGAGTAAATAATGCAGTAAACTATCAGTTGAGTATCTAAGGCAGTAAACTATCAGTTTAGTGACTAAGACAGTAAACTATCAGGTGAGTATCTAAGGCAGTAAACTATCAGTTTAGTGACTAAGGCAGTAAACTATCAGTTGAGTAACTAAGACAGTAAACTATCAGTTTAGTGACTAAGGCAGTAAACTATCAGTTGAGTAACTAAGGCAGTAAACTATCAGTTGAGTATCTAAGGCAGTAAACTATAAGTTGAGTAACTAACACAGTAAACTATGAGTTAAGTAACTAATGCAGTAAACTATAAGTTGAGTAAATAATGCAGTAAACTATAAGTTGAGAATCTAAGGCAGTAAACTATCAGTTTAGTGACTAAGACAGTAAACTATCAGTTGAGTATCTAAGGCAGTAAACTATCGGTTTAGTGACTAAGGCAGTAAACTATCAGTTGAGTAACTAAGGCAGTAAACTATCAGTTGAGTAACTAAGGCAGTAAACTATTAGTTGAGTAACTAAAGCAGTAACTAATCAAGGGACAAAAGCCCAGGTATTTGTACCACAGAACTTAACCTGGAAATGATCAAGTGTTATTGTGTCACCAGAGTTGTGCTCACCAGGTTCCACGAAAACAAACTTTTGTAAAATCTACGTGAAAAGCGTTCTTTACATATATATTATTTTATTTTCTCTAAAGCTACTGTTAATTGTTATAACAAAAAAAATTGAATTACAGGTCTCAATTGTATTGATCATAGCATGACAGTTCTTTGTATCGTTTGCTAACACTCAAGAATAGCGGAAATACCCAGTTGTTAGTGAAGACTCTTCTCCCTCACGTGCACCCTGCACGTGGCACGAAGGACACAGTGGCCGACCATCCAGAATAGTGGTTACTTATAGTGTAGAAGAAGAGGATCAGTGGGTTGACAGATGACGTGAACACTTGGCCGGGAACAATGTCCTTGTCGCAGTACCTGAAATGGGAACCTCCAATTATAACCAATCTTGCTGGAGCAAAGTACAGCAGATGTTGAAGCTAACTTAAAAACCTGCAGCTGACCTTATATAGATTGATGGAGTTGATGTGATGATCAGTAGAGAGATGGAGTTAATTTCAATTACTTTTAAGGAATGGGCAAAAAGTTGAAGGGTTTAGTTGACCTCAAGTACATATATTGAGTTGACCTCATAAACAGATTTGGAATTGTTCTTAAGACGAAAAATAAGAGTTGAAATCAGATTTAATTATAAAGTTGACCTCAGGTCGAAACAAACAGTTTGTTGGAAGTTGACAGTTTCTGTTGAAATATTTAATTATAGCTTGAAGAATTCTCACAAGAACAAACAAACACAAAAGTAACAAAAACACAAAACTGCAAGCAAGTAATATTAAAAATACAAAATAATGAATATACTTATAAAATGTCATCTCTTGATCTAACTCTTCAAACATTTTATTTTCATCTTCGTTTAAACAAATATTTGTCCCACTCATTTTCCTCTTGCATACACCCTCCCTCTAGCACCTCTCTCTGTACACTCTCCCACATACACCCTCCCTCTAGCACCTCTCCCTGTACACTCTCCCACATACACCCTCCCTCTAGCACCTCTCCCTGTACACTCTCCCACATACACCCTCCCTCTAGCACCTCTCCCTGTACACTCTCCCACATACACCCTCCCTCTAGCACCTCTCCCTGTACACTCTCCCACATACACCCTCCCTCTAGCACCTCTCCCTGTTCACTCTCCCACATACACCCTCCCTCTAGCACCTCTCCCTGTACACTCTCCCACATACACCCTCCCTCTAGCACCTCTCCCTGTACACTCTCCCACATACACCCTCCCTCCAACACCTCTCCCTGTACACTCTCCCACATACACCCTCCCTCCAGCACCTCTCCCTGTACACTCTCCCACATACACCCTCCCTCCAGCACCTCTCCCTGTACACTCTCCCACATACACCCTCCCTCTAGCACCTCTCCCTGTACACTCTCCCACATACACCCTCCCTCCAGCACCTCTCCCTGTACACTCTCCCACATACACTCTCCCTCCAGCACCTCTCCCTGTACACTCTCCCACATACACCCTCCCTCCAGCACCTCTCCCTGTACACTCTCCCACATACTCCCTCCCTACAACACCTCTCCCTGTACACCCTCCATCATACACCCTCCATCATACACCCTCCATCATATACCCTCCATCATACACCCTCCATCACATACCTTCCATCATACACCCTCCGTCATACACCCTCCGTCATACACCCTCCATTATACACCCTCCGTCATACACCCTCGGTCATACACCCTCCATCATACACCATCCATTATACACCCTCCGTCAATGACCCTCCACTATACACCCTCCGTCATACACCCTCCATTATACACCCTCCATCATACACTCTCCATCATACACCCTTCATCATACACCCTCCATCATACACCCTCCATCATACACCTTCCGTCATACCACCTGCCATACTCACACTCTGTCACTAACGGTGTTGGTGTTCCTGATCTCCAGAAAGTCGAAGTAGCAACACGGAGAACTGACGCAGTGAAAGGTACGGCGGTACAGCCTGAAGCTCTTGAATGTCAGTCTTGCAAAAGTGCACTTGGGAGCCTGGATCACATACACACATCTTGCGCCTGACGAGTGCACATTGTTAGTTTATATATATATATATATATATATATATATATATATATATATATATATATATATATATATATATATATATATATATATATATATATATATTTTTTTTTTTTTGTGATGTGAAAGTGTTGGAGTGTTGATGTTCGGCAGTCCTCCAATGGCAGGTGTCAAAGGATGGTCACACTTTAAACAAAATATAGACTGCTTGCCTGTTGTCTGTGGTAAGTTAGAGGGAGGAACACGTAAAACACAAAATATGAACAATGAAACTTTAATATATTTACTTTAAAAATAAATGGAAATAAAGACAAATCACTGGAAGTTAAATTACAGTTAAATAAAAAAGAAAATTCAAAGACAATGTGAAATACAAAATTACAATGTAAAAATGGTGCTGAGAATATCGGCTATGGGTATATATATATATATATATATATATATATATATATATATATATATATATATATATATATATATATATATATATATATATATATATATATATATATATATATGCGAACAAGCCAGAATGGTCCCCTGGACAATATGCAACTGAAAACTCACACCCCAGAAGTGACTCGAACCCATACTCCCAGAAGCAACGCAACTGGTATGTACAAGACGCCTTAATCCACTTGACCATCACGACCGGACATAATGAGGTGATAGCCGAGGCTATTTGAACCACCCCACCGCCGGCACTCGGATAGTTATCTTGGGCATAGCATTTTACCAAATCACCTCATTCTTAGGGGCACACGTGAGGAACACAAATGCGAACAAGCCAGAATGGTCCCCTGGACAATATGCAACTGAAAACTCACACCCCAGAAGTGACTCGAACCCATACTCCCAGAAGCAACGCAACTGGTATGTACAAGACGCCTTAATCCACTTGACCATCACGACCGGACATAATGAGGTGATAGCCGAGGCTATTTGAACCACCCCACCGCCGGCACTCGGATAGTTATCTTGGGCATAGCATTTTACCAAATCACCTCATTCTTAGGGGCACACGTGAGGAACACAAATGCGAACAAGCCAGAATGGTCCCCTGGACAATATGCAACTGAAAACTCACACCCCAGAAGTGACTCGAACCCATACTCCCAGAAGCAACGCAACTGGTATGTACAAGACGCCTTAATCCACTTGACCATCACGACCGGACATAATGAGGTGATAGCCGAGGCTATTTGAACCACCCCACCGCCGGCACTCGGATAGTTATCTTGGGCATAGCATTTTACCAAATCACCTCATTCTTAGGGGCACACGTGAGGAACACAAATGCGAACAAGCCAGAATGGTCCCCTGGACAATATGCAACTGAAAACTCACACCCCAGAAGTGACTCGAACCCATACTCCCAGAAGCAACGCAACTGGTATGTACAAGACGCCTTAATCCACTTGACCATCACGACCGGACATAATGAGGTGATAGCCGAGGCTATTTGAACCACCCCACCGCCGGCACTCGGATAGTTATCTTGGGCATAGCATTTTACCAAATCACCTCATTCTTAGGGGCACACGTGAGGAACACAAATGCGAACAAGCCAGAATGGTCCCCTGGACAATATGCAACTGAAAACTCACACCCCAGAAGTGACTCGAACCCATACTCCCAGAAGCAACGCAACTGGTATGTACAAGACGCCTTAATCCACTTGACCATCACGACCGGACATAATGAGGTGATAGCCGAGGCTATTTGAACCACCCCACCGCCGGCACTCGGATAGTTATCTTGGGCATAGCATTTTACCAAATCACCTCATTCTTAGGGGCACACGTGAGGAACACAAATGCGAACAAGCCAGAATGGTCCCCTGGACAATATGCAACTGAAAACTCACACCCCAGAAGTGACTCGAACCCATACTCCCAGAAGCAACGCAACTGGTATGTACAAGACGCCTTAATCCACTTGACCATCACGACCGGACATAATGAGGTGATAGCCGAGGCTATTTGAACCACCCCACCGCCGGCACTCGGATAGTTATCTTGGGCATAGCATTTTACCAAATCACCTCATTCTTAGGGGCACACGTGAGGAACACAAATGCGAACAAGCCAGAATGGTCCCCTGGACAATATGCAACTGAAAACTCACACCCCAGAAGTGACTCGAACCCATACTCCCAGAAGCAACGCAACTGGTATGTACAAGACGCCTTAATCCACTTGACCATCACGACCGGACATAATGAGGTGATAGCCGAGGCTATTTGAACCACCCCACCGCCGGCACTCGGATAGTTATCTTGGGCATAGCATTTTACCAAATCACCTCATTCTTAGGGGCACACGTGAGGAACACAAATGCGAACAAGCCAGAATGGTCCCCTGGACAATATGCAACTGAAAACTCACACCCCAGAAGTGACTCGAACCCATACTCCCAGAAGCAACGCAACTGGTATGTACAAGACGCCTTAATCCACTTGACCATCACGACCGGACATAATGAGGTGATAGCCGAGGCTATTTGAACCACCCCACCGCCGGCACTCGGATAGTTATCTTGGGCATAGCATTTTACCAAATCACCTCATTCTTAGGGGCACACGTGAGGAACACAAATGCGAACAAGCCAGAATGGTCCCCTGGACAATATGCAACTGAAAACTCACACCCCAGAAGTGACTCGAACCCATACTCCCAGAAGCAACGCAACTGGTATGTACAAGACGCCTTAATCCACTTGACCATCACGACCGGACATAATGAGGTGATAGCCGAGGCTATTTGAACCACCCCACCGCCGGCACTCGGATAGTTATCTTGGGCATAGCATTTTACCAAATCACCTCATTCTTAGGGGCACACGTGAGGAACACAAATGCGAACAAGCCAGAATGGTCCCCTGGACAATATGCAACTGAAAACTCACACCCCAGAAGTGACTCGAACCCATACTCCCAGAAGCAACGCAACTGGTATGTACAAGACGCCTTAATCCATTAAGGCGTCTTGTACATACCAGTTGCGTTGCTTCTGAGTGGATTTATGTCCGGCGTGATGGTCCATAGGCAGTGTGCGTTGGAGTATGGGTTCGAGTCACTTCTGGGGTGTGAGTTTTCAGTTGCATATTGTCCAGGGGACCATTCTGGCTTGTTCGCATTTGTGTTCCTCACGTGTGCCCCTAAGAATGAGGTGATTTGGTAAAATGCTATGCCCAAGATAACTATCCGAGTGCCGGCGGTGGGGTGGTTCAAATAGCCTCGGCTATCACCTCATTATGTCCGGTCGTGATGGTCAAGTGGATTAAGGCGTCTTGTACATACCAGTTGCGTTGCTTCTGGGAGTATGGGTTCGAGTCACTTCTGGGGTGTGAGTTTTCAGTTGCATATTGTCCAGGGGACCATTCTGGCTTGTTCGCATTTGTGTTCCTCACGTGTGCCCCTAAGAATGAGGTGATTTGGTAAAATGCTATGCCCAAGATAACTATCCGAGTGCCGGCGGTGGGGTGGTTCAAATAGCCTCGGCTATCACCTCATTATGTCCGGTCGTGATGGTCAAGTGGATTAAGGCGTCTTGTACATACCAGTTGCGTTGCTTCTGGGAGTATGGGTTCGAGTCACTTCTGGGGTGTGAGTTTTCAGTTGCATATTGTCCAGGGGACCATTCTGGCTTGTTCGCATTTGTGTTCCTCACGTGTGCCCCTAAGAATGAGGTGATTTGGTAAAATGCTATGCCCAAGATAACTATCCGAGTGCCGGCGGTGGGGTGGTTCAAATAGCCTCGGCTATCACCTCATTATGTCCGGTCGTGATGGTCAAGTGGATTAAGGCGTCTTGTACATACCAGTTGCGTTGCTTCTGGGAGTATGGGTTCGAGTCACTTCTGGGGTGTGAGTTTTCAGTTGCATATTGTCCAGGGGACCATTCTGGCTTGTTCGCATTTGTGTTCCTCACGTGTGCCCCTAAGAATGAGGTGATTTGGTAAAATGCTATGCCCAAGATAACTATCCGAGTGCCGGCGGTGGGGTGGTTCAAATAGCCTCGGCTATCACCTCATTATGTCCGGTCGTGATGGTCAAGTGGATTAAGGCGTCTTGTACATACCAGTTGCGTTGCTTCTGGGAGTATGGGTTCGAGTCACTTCTGGGGTGTGAGTTTTCAGTTGCATATTGTCCAGGGGACCATTCTGGCTTGTTCGCATTTGTGTTCCTCACGTGTGCCCCTAAGAATGAGGTGATTTGGTAAAATGCTATGCCCAAGATAACTATCCGAGTGCCGGCGGTGGGGTGGTTCAAATAGCCTCGGCTATCACCTCATTATGTCCGGTCGTGATGGTCAAGTGGATTAAGGCGTCTTGTACATACCAGTTGCGTTGCTTCTGGGAGTATGGGTTCGAGTCACTTCTGGGGTGTGAGTTTTCAGTTGCATATTGTCCAGGGGACCATTCTGGCTTGTTCGCATTTGTGTTCCTCACGTGTGCCCCTAAGAATGAGGTGATTTGGTAAAATGCTATGCCCAAGATAACTATCCGAGTGCCGGCGGTGGGGTGGTTCAAATAGCCTCGGCTATCACCTCATTATGTCCGGTCGTGATGGTCAAGTGGATTAAGGCGTCTTGTACATACCAGTTGCGTTGCTTCTGGGAGTATGGGTTCGAGTCACTTCTGGGGTGTGAGTTTTCAGTTGCATATTGTCCAGGGGACCATTCTGGCTTGTTCGCATTTGTGTTCCTCACGTGTGCCCCTAAGAATGAGGTGATTTGGTAAAATGCTATGCCCAAGATAACTATCCGAGTGCCGGCGGTGGGGTGGTTCAAATAGCCTCGGCTATCACCTCATTATGTCCGGTCGTGATGGTCAAGTGGATTAAGGCGTCTTGTACATACCAGTTGCGTTGCTTCTGGGAGTATGGGTTCGAGTCACTTCTGGGGTGTGAGT